TCGCCAGTTTTTGTGACACGGCCTGGTGAGGGGGGCGGGGGGAAGATTTCCGGACGTTTGCAAACTAAGAAAGGTAAAGCCTGGCACAAAAAGAACAAGCAAACAGTGAGCTATCTTTAGCTTTATCTTTACGTTTAGCGAGATCTCGTGATTGGCAAAAAGTCTCCTGTTATTGATTGACCCCACTAAACCAAGCCGAAGGTACAGTTTTCCTGAAAACCAAACATCAGCTTTGCATGTTCATGTATACAAAACCATACCATGAAGTGACATGGAACACAGAGGCGTGTCCCTTGTTCAATTATGGGTATAATGGCATGTAGTTTTATCCGTTTAGAGCCTGTATTTATAATGTAGGGCTTCGTTCCTGTAACCGTGCCAACCCTCCGCGCGCGACCTGCAAAATCGTCGCTTGCTCCCCGCCGCACCCGCCGACCTTTGATCGTCTTGCAATGTCGTGAAAAAAATATTGCTATTCTGAAATCAAAATTGCTAATGGCGCTATCTTGTGTCAACACGCGTACAATGGATGGCCCAGAGGCTACCAAAGATTTGAACAAGACCGCACAATGTGCCACATTGGTATCCTCAGAAAACTGTAGGGGGAAGGGATGTCGCATCGCCTACTCTCCCCCTCATGTCAGGGCGAGAAACTTGTTCCGAAAGAGCTATCCGCCTGATACGAGGTTATTGACAAATTTCGATAGTTACTGGGGCACGCCGAGAGGCGCCCCCTAGTGAAAACATGTCGCGCCAGGCTTGGAGCATGCCTAAGGTGGATACTTTGATGACAGCTGAGATGGGCTCGAAGCGCAATCATGATTTTCATACGGGGGCATAGCCTCGTGGAGACCCCCATATTTGACGCCATTTTCAGCGCCGCTTGCTACTGGTTCGGAATCTGTCCTACATGTTGCTGCCCTGATTATCGAAGTCCTTCACTGTTTTTTGCGGTCGAGGAAAGCAAATCCAGCCGTGGACTGAGTTTAAACGTGAGGCCCCGGCAAGTCCCGAGGGTGGTAGAAAACTCCTGTTGTGATTGGGCTATCTCATTAGTCTAGGACAAGTGCGTCTGCTTTCCTAGAAACAGCACTTACATCAAAATTTGTTAAAGGGCAGTGTATGACTGAACGTTTCGGTTATGTGCATAATTTTGAAAATTGCAGTCGTGAAAGAGACTTTCGATGATAGGCTGATTACTGATGACGCTACTGGGCATGGACTTAAAGATTGGTTTGTCATCTGGTATCGCATTACGCTACTGGCGACAATTTTCCTCCAAAAATGTGTTCGGCGACACAGAGTACACTTTTACCACCCCTGTTCACCTCGCTAAACGTCAAGGTACAATAACAACAGTCAGGTTCTAAGTTGTTAAGTTCCAAAAGCACGATGCTGCCGCAGCCCGTCCGACGAATTGTCCCAAACAAAACAGGGCTGACTACCAGCCTCAGCCAATGGGTGGATTCGCCCCATGCCCGTCGGTGGGGCGTAGCTCCTCCCTTCGCGGGATGGCTATGCGAAAGACTGGCGCGTGCGCGGTCAGTCGAGCGCGGGTTGTGGACGTGGATAACCGTGGCGACGCTATCGTGATGGCCATGGCGATTGCGCTCGTTCTCTTCGGGGCTGTGGGTCTGGTTCCAATGCCTCGTGCAGCTACCGCTACAAGCTTGACTTTCAGACCACTCCCAAACTTCCTTGGTCGTAGCAGACAACTCAACCAAGGCTGGCAAACAAGTCTGCGCTTCGAACATCGGCGTGATGAAACATGGTTGCCCTGGACGAAAGGTCCTGGGATTACAAATATCAGAGGAGCAAGGTCCTTCAATTTCAAGTCAGGCAAGCGACTTTGTGATCGCATGGACGAAAGTGGTGCATATGAACGTGAGGAAGAACAGAGCGACGATCGTACAGACGCAAGTGATATGTACGACTGTGCGGAGGAGCATCTTGAATTTATGAATGGCGAGAACATATGCAACTATGAAGACTCAACCTATGACTTTTGCATGGACGACAAAAGTACGTGCGATTGTGAAGCAGATAATGGCGACGACTGCATAGGCCCAAGAAGCACATGCGATTATTCTGGCGAAAATCACTGTGATTCCAGTGATGACCTTGCCTGTGGGTGCACTGAAGATAGCATGAGATGTGACTGTAAAGAACATACTGGATGTAACTCCGAAGAGCACGTGGAATGTACCTATCAAGAGCATATGGAATTTGGTTGTGCGGAACATGTGGCATGTGACTGCGAAGAACATATGGGATGCAGCTGTAAACAACACATGGGATGCAATTGTGAAGAACAAATGGGATGTAACACGGCAACAACACCACCAGAGGCGACAACGGAAAGCACGTCAGAAACAACGTCGGAAAGTACAACTGTAACTCTGCCAGCAACAACGTCAGGAGGCTCAACAGGAGCCGTCTCGCCAACAGCGTCAAGGCTTTCAACAATGGGCACGTCAGAAGGCACCAAAGCGACGACAACAACCATGGTGCCGACAGGTATAACTGTAGCGACAACTGAAACGACAGAAGGCGATACAGCAACTACAACAACTGCTACGGCAGTAAGTACACCAGAGACACCGTTTGTGTCTGTTACATCAACGACTGCTGGAACAACCACACCAGCTGTGACTACGGCAGAAGCAACAACCGCTGGTATGACAGACAATTTTGTCACAAGCACAACAATAGAAATGACGATGACCTCGAAACCAACCACAGAGGGCACTACAACACCACCGTCTACCGGAACAGCATCGACAAGCACAACATCGCCAAATAAGACGACAATGACAACAAGTGCAACAACGCCTCCAACGAGTACAGCAACAGTTACTTCTGGCACGACGGCAATATCTGGCCCGGCTTCTACCAGTACTGAATCAACGGCAGCTGGAGCGTCAGTGAGTTATACGGCAAGTACAGCCCAAGCAACGACAATGGGACAAACAACACAATCCAACACCCAACCTTCGCCTACTAACACAGTTGGAATAACGACAACTACCCCGACTGAAATTTCCACGGCAAGCACGCCCACCGGTACGACGATGAGTCCTATCATACCACCAGAGAGCACTACATCGTCACCTTCTCCTAGCACCACACAGGCAACAACAACAGCCGTGGTGCCGACAGGTATCACTACAGCGACAAGTGAAACGACAGAAAGTGTTACAGAAACCACAACAACAGGCACGGCGGGAAGTACGCCAGGGACACCGTTTGTGTCGGTCACATCAATGACTGCTGGAGCAACCAATACGGACGTAACTACGCAAGGAGCAACCACCGCTGGCATGACAGAAATTTCCGTCACAAGTACAACAATAGGAATGACGTTGACTTCGACACCAACCGCAGAGGGCACTACAACACCACCATCTGCCGGAACAGCAACGAAAAGCATAACAACGAAGCTAACTAGTGCGACAATGATGACAAGTGCAACAACGCCTGCAGCAAATACCACAACAGCCACATCTGGCACGACGGAAAGAACAGTAACAGCATTCACAAGCACTGAATCAACGACGGCTGCAACGATGGGAAGTTTCCCGGCAAGCACAGCTCCAGGAACGACAATGGGACCAACAACACCATCTAACACCCCACCTTCGCGTACTAATACAGCAGGAATAACGACAGCTGAGCCGACTGAAATTTCCACGTCAAGCCCATCCCCCGCAACGACGGTCGGTCCCACCATACCAGCAGAGAGCACTACATCGTCACCTTCTCGTAGCACCACACAAGCAACAACAACCATGGTGCCAACAGGCATAACTACAGCGACAACTGAAACGACAGAAGTTTTTCCAGCAGCTTCAACAATAGCTATGGAAGAAGCTACCCCAGTGACACCGTCTGTGTCTGTCGCATCGACGACGGCTGTCACAACCAATACAGCTCTAACTACGGCAGGAGCAACCACGGCTGGTATGACAGAAAGTTCTGTCACAAGTACAACAACAGAAATGACGATGACCTCGACACCAGCCACGGAGGGCACCACACCACCACCGTCTGCCGGAACAGCCATGACAAGCACAACAACTTCGCCAAGTAGTAAAATAATGACAACAAGTGCAACAACGCCTGCAACAAGTACAGCAACAGTTACTTCTGGCACGACGGCAATAACTGGCACGACTTCTACAAATCCTGAATCAACGACAGCTGGAGCGTCAGTGAGCTATACTGCAAGTACAGTCCCAGGAACGACAATGGGACCAACAACACCATCTAACACCCCACCTTCGCCTTCTAATACAGCAGGAATAACGACAACTAGCCCGGCTGAAATTTCCACGTCAAGCACACCCAACGGAACAACGACGAGTCCTAACATACCACCAGAGAGCACCACATCGTCACCTTCTCGCAGCACCACACAAGCATCAACAACAACCGTGGTGCCGACAGGTATAACTACAGCGACAACTGTAACGACAGAAGGTGCCACAGCAACTACAACACCAGCTACGGCAGGAGCTACCCCAGAGACACCGTCTGTGTCTGTCACATCGACGACGGCTAGCACCACCAATCCAGCTCTAACTACGGCAAGAGCAACCACTGCTGATATGACAGAAAGTTCTCTCACAAGTACAATAGAAATCACGACGACCTCGACACCAACCACGGAGGGCACCACACCACCACCGTCTGCCGGAACAGCCACGACAAGCACAACAACTTCGCTAACTAGCACGACAATGACAACAAGTGCAACAACGCCTCCAAAAAGGACAGCAACAGTTACTTCTGGCACGACGGCAATAACTGGCCCGGCTTCTACAAATACTGAATCAACAACAGCTGGAGCGTCAGTGAGTTATACGGCAAATACAGCCCAAGCAACGACAATGGGACCAACAACCACATCTAGCACCCCACCTTCGCTTACTAATACTGCAGGAATAACGACAGCTAGCCCGACTGAAATTTCCACGTCAAGCACACCCACAGGAACGACGATGAGTCCTATCATACCACCAGAGAGCACTACATCGTCACCATCTCGTAGCACCACACAGGCAACAACAACCATTGTGCCAACAGGTATAACTACAACGACAACTGAAACGACAGAAGTTCCTCCAGCAGCTTCAACAATAGCTACGGCAGAAGCTACCCCAGGTACAGAGTCTGTGTCTGTCACATCGACGACGGCTGGCACAACCAATACAGCTCTAACAGCTCTAACTACCGCAGGAGCAGTCACCGCTGGTACGACACAAAGTTCTGTCATAAGTACAACAATAGAAATGACGATCACTTCGACACCAACCACAGACGGCACAACACCACCGTCTGCCGGAACAGCAACGACAAGCGCAACAACGTCGCCAACTGGTGCGACCATGACAATAAGCGCAACAACGCCTGCAGCAAGTACCACAAATGCCATATCTGGCACGACGGAAAGAACAGCAACAGCATTCACAAGTACTGAACCAACGACAGCTGAAACGATGGGAAGTTCTCAGGCAAGTACAGCTCCAGAAACGACAGTGGGACCAACAACACCATCTAACACCCCACCTTCGCCTACTAATACAGCAGGAATAACCACAACTAGCCCGGATGAAATTTCCACGTCAAGCACACCCACCGGAACGACGACGAGTCCTATCATACCACAAGAGAGCACTACATCGTCACCTTCTCGCCGCACCACACAGGCAACAACAGCAAACGTGTTTCCGACAGGTATAACCACAGCGAGAACTGAAACGACAGAAGGTGCTACAGCAACTACAACAACAGCTAAGGCAGGAACTACCCCAGAGACACCGTCTGTGTCTGTGACATCGACGACGGCTGGCACAACAAATACAGTTCTAACTACGGCAGGAGCAACAACCGCAGATATGACAGAAAGTTCTGTCACAAGTACAATAGAAAAGACGATGACCTCGACACCAACGACGGAGGGCACCACAGCACCACCGTCTACCGGAACAGCCACGACCAGCACAACAACTTCGCCATCTAGTACGACACTGACAACAAGTGCAACAACGCCTCCAACAAGTACAGTAGCAGTTACTTCTGGCATGCCGGCAATAACTGGCCCGGCTTCTACAAGTACTGAAACCACGATAGCTGGAGCGTCAGTGAGTTATACTGCAAGTACAGTCCCAGCAACGACAATGGGACCAACAACACCGTCCAACACTCAACCTTCGCCTACTTATACAGCTGCAACAACGACAACTAGCCCGGATGAAATTTCCATGTCAAGCACACCCACCGAAACGACGATGAGTCCTATCATACCACCAGAGAGCACTACATCGTCACCTTCTCGCAGCACCACACAAGCAACAACAACAACTGTGGTGCCGACAGGTAAAACTACAGCGACAACTGAAACGACAGAAGGTGCTACAGCAACTACAACACCACCTACGGCAGAAGCTACCCCAGAGACACCGTCTGTGTCTGTGACATCGACTACGGCTGGCACAACCAATGCAGCTCTAACTACGGCACGAGGAACCACCGCGGATATGACAGGAAGTTTTATCACAAGTACAACAGAAATGACGATGTCCTCGACGCCAACGACAGAGGGCACCACACCACCACCGTCTGCCGGAACAGCCACGACAAGCACAACAACGTCGCCAAATATTACGACAAGGACGACAAGTGCAACAACGCCTCCAACGAGAACAACAACAGTTACTTCTGGCACGACGGCAATAACTGGCCCGGCTTCTACAAGTACTGAATCAACAACAGCTGGACCGTCAGTGAGCTATACGGCAAGTACAGCCCAAGCAACGACAATGGGACCAACCACAACATCTAACACCCCACCTTCGCCTAGTTATACAGAGGGAACCACGACAGCTAGCCCGACTGAAATTTCCACGTCAAGCATATCCACCGCAACGACAATGGGTTCTACCATATCAGCAGAGAGCACTACATCGTCACCTTCTCGTAGCACCACACAAGCAACAACAAGAACCGTGGTGCCGACAGGCATCACTACAGCGACAAGTGAAACGACACAAGGTGTTACAGCAACTACAACAATAGATACGGCAGGGAGTACACCAGGGACACCGTTTGTGTCTGTCACATCAATGAGTGCTGGAACTACCAATACGGACGTAGCTACGCCAGGAGCAACCACCACTGGTATGACAGAAATTTCTGTCACAGGTACAACAACAGAAATGACGATGACCTCGACACCAACGACGGAGGACACCACACCACCACCGTCTGCCGGAACAGCTACGACAAGCACAACAACTTTGCCATCTAGTACAACAAAGACAACAAGTGCAACAACGCCTCCAACAAGTACAGCAACAGCTGCTTCTGGCACGACGGCAATAACTGGCCCGGCATCTAAAAATACTGAATCAACGACAGCTGGAGCGTCAGTGAGTTACACGGCAAGTACAGCCCAAGCAACGACAATGAGACCAACAACACCATCCAACACCCAACCTTCGCCTACTAATTCACCTGCAATAACGACAACTAGCCCGACTGAAACTTCCACGTCAAGCACACCCACCGGAACGACGATCAGTCCTATTCTACCACCAGAGAGCACTACATCATCACCTTTTCGTAGCACCACACAAGCAACAACATCCATGGTGCCACCGGGTATAACTACAGCGACAACTGAAACGACAGAAATTTCTCCAGCACCTTCAACAACAGCTACGAAAGAAGCTACCCCAGGGACACCGTCTGTGTCCGTCACATCGACGACGGCTGGCACAACCAATACAGCTCTAACTGCGGCAGGAGCAACCACCGCTAGTATGACAGAAAGTTTTGTCACAAGTACAACAATAAAAATGACGATGACCTCTCCACCAACGGCAGAGGACACCACATCACCATCGTCATCCGAAACAGCCACAAAAAGCACAACAACTTCGTCAAGTAGTACGACAATGACAACGAGTGCAACAACGCCTCCAACAAATACAGCAACAGTTACTTCTGGCACGACGGCAATAACTGGCCCGGCTTCTACAAGTACTGAAACAACGACAGCTGGAACGTCAGTGAGTAATACGGCAAGTACAGGCCCAGCCACGACAATGGGACCAACAACACAGTCCAACACTCAACCTTCGCCTACTTATACAGCTGGAATCACGACAGCTAGACCGACTGGAATTTCCACGTCAAGCACACCCAACGGAGCGACGATGAGTCCTATCATACCACCAGAGAGCACTACATCGTCACCTTCTGGTAGCACCACACAAGCAACAACAAGAACCGTGGTGCCGACAGGCATCACTACAGCGACAACGGTAACGACAGAAGGTGCTACAGCAACTACAACAATAGATGCGGCAGGGAGTACACCAGGGACACCGTTTGTGTCTGTCACATCAATGAGTGCTGGAACTACCAATACGGGCGTAGCTACGCCAAGAGAAACCACCGCTGGTATGACAGAAATTTCTGTCACAGGTACAACAACAGAAATGACGATGACCTCGACACCAACCACGGAGGCCACCACGCCAGCACCGTCTGCCGGAACTTCGCAAACTAGCACGACAATGACAACAAGTGCAACAACGCCTCCAACAAGTACAGCAACAGTTACTTCTGGCATGCCGGGAATAACTGGCTCGGCTTCCACAAGTACTGAAACAACTATAGCTGGAGCGTCAGTGAGTCATACTGCAAGTACAGCCCCAGCAACGACAATGAGACCAACAACACCATCCAACACTCAAACTTCGCCTACTAATACAGTTGGAATAACGACAACTACCCCGACCGAAATTTCCATGCCAAGCACACCCACCGGAACGACGATGAGCCCTATCATACCACCAGAGAGCACTGCATCGTCATCTTCTCCCAGCACCACACAAGCGACAACAACAACCGTGGTACCAACAGGCATAACTACAGCAAGAACTGAAACGACAGAAGGTGCTACGGCAACTGCAACACCAGCTACGACAGGAGCTACCCCAGAGACACCGTCTGTGTCTGTGACATCGACGATGGGTGGCACAACCAATAAAGCTCTGACTACGGCAGGGGCAACCACCACTGATGTGACTGAAAGTTCTGTCACAAGTACAATAGAAAAGACGATGACCTCGACACCAACGACGGAGGGCACCACAGCACCACCGTCTACCGGAACAGCCACGACCAGCACAACAACTTCGCCATCTAGTACGACACTGACAACAAGTGCAACAACGCCTCCAACAAGTACAGTAGCAGTTACTTCTGGCATGCCGGCAATAACTGGCCCGGCTTCTACAAGTACTGAAACCACGATAGCTGGAGCGTCAGTGAGTTATACTGCAAGTACAGTCCCAGCAACGACAATGGGACCAACAACACCGTCCAACACTCAACCTTCGCCTACTTATACAGCTGCAACAACGACAACTAGCCCGGATGAAATTTCCATGTCAAGCACACCCACCGAAACGACGATGAGTCCTATCATACCACCAGAGAGCACTACATCGTCACCTTCTCGCAGCACCACACAAGCAACAACAACTGTGGTGCCGACAGGTAAAACTACAGCAACAACTGAAACGACAGAAGGTGCTACAGCAACTACAACACCACCTACGGCAGAAGCTACCCCAGAGACACCGTCTGTGTCTGTGACATCGACTACGGCTGGCACAACCAATGCAGCTCTAACTACGGCACGAGGAACCACCGCGGATATGACAGGAAGTTTTATCACAAGTACAACAGAAATGACGATGTCCTCGACGCCAACGACAGAGGGCACCACACCACCACCGTCTGCCGGAACAGCCACGACAAGCACAACAACGTCGCCAAATATTACGACAAGGACGACAAGTGCAACAACGCCTCCAACGAGAACAACAACAGTTACTTCTGGCACGACGGCAATAACTGGCCCGGCTTCTACAAGTACTGAATCAACAACAGCTGGACCGTCAGTGAGTTATACGGCAAGTACAGCCCAAGCAACGACAATGGGACCAACCACAACATCTAACACCCCACCTTCGCCTAGTTATACAGCAGGAACCACGACAGCTAGCCCGACTGAAATTTCCACGTCAAGCATATCCACCGCAACGACAATGGGTTCTACCATATCAGCAGAGAGCACTACATCGTCACCTTCTCGTAGCACCACACAAGCAACAACAAGAACCGTGGTGCCGACAGGCATCACTACAGCGACAAGTGAAACGACACAAGGTGTTACAGCAACTACAACAATAGATGCGGCAGGGAGTACACCAGGGACACCGTTTGTGTCTGTCACATCAATGAGTGCTGGAACTACCAATACGGACGTAGCTACGCCAGGAGCAACCACCACTGGTATGACAGAAATTTCTGTCACAGGTACAACAACAGAAATGACGATGACCTCGACACCAACGACGGAGGACACCACACCACCACCGTCTGCCGGAACAGCTACGACAAGCACAACAACTTTGCCATCTAGTACAACAAAGACAACAAGTGCAACAACGCCTCCAACAAGTACAGCAACAGCTGCTTCTGGCTCGACGGCAATAACTGGCCCGGCATCTACAAATACTGAATCAACGACAGCTGGAGCGTCAGTGAGTTACACGGCAAGTACAGCCCAAGCAACGACAATGAGACCAACAACACCATCCAACACCCAACCTTCGCCTACTAATTCACCTGCAATAACGACAACTAGCCCGACTGAAACTTCCACGTCAAGCACACCCACCGGAACGACGATCAGTCCTATTCTACCACCAGAGAGCACTACATCGTCACCTTTTCGTAGCACCACACAAGCAACAACATCCATGGTGCCACCGGGTATAACTACAGCGACAACTGAAACGACAGAAATTTCTCCAGCACCTTCAACAACAGCTACGAAAGAAGCTACCCCAGGGACACCGTCTGTGTCCGTCACATCGACGACGGCTGGCACAACCAATACAGCTCTAACTGCGGCAGGAGCAACCACCGCTAGTATGACAGAAAGTTTTGTCACAAGTACAACAATAAAAATGACGATGACCTCTGAACCAACGGCAGAGGGCACCACATCACCATCGTCATCCGAAACAGCCACAAAAAGCACAACAACTTCGTCAAGTAGTACGACAATGACAACGAGTGCAACAACGCCTCCAACAAATACAGCAACAGTTACTTCTGGCACGACGGCAATAACTGGCCCGGCTTCTACAAGTACTGAAACAACGACAGCTGGAACGTCAGTGAGTTATACGGCAAGTACAGGCCCAGCCACGACAATGGGACCAACAACACAGTCCAACACTCAACGTTCGCCTACTTATACAGCTGGAATCACGACAGCTAGACCGACTGAAATTTCCACGTCAAGCACACCCAACGGAGCGACGATGAGTCCTATCATATCACCAGAGAGCACTACATCGTCACCTTCTGGTAGCACCACACAAGCAACAACAAGAACCGTGGTGCCGACAGGCATTACTACAGCGACAAGTGAAACGACAGAAGGTGCCACAGCAACTACAACAATAGATACGGCAGGGAGTACACCAGGGACACCGTTTGTGTCTGTCACATCAATGAGTGCTGGAACTACCAATACGGACGTAGCTACGCCAAGAGAAACCACCGCTGGTATGACAGAAATTTCTGTCACAGGTACAACACCAGAAATGACGATGACCTCGACACCAACCACGGAGGCCACAACACCAGCACCGTCTGCCGGAACTTCGCAAACTAGCACGACAATGACAACAAGTGCAACAACGCCTCCAACAAGTACAGCAACAGTTACTTCTGGCATGCCGGGAATAACTGGCTCGGCTTCCACAAGTACTGAAACAACGGTAGCTGGAGCGTCAGTGAGTCATACTGCAAGTACAGCCCCAGCAACGACAATGAGACCAACAACACCATCCAACACTCAAACTTCGCCTACTAATACAGCTGGAATGACGACAACTACCCCGACTGAAATTTTCATGTCAAGCACACCCACCGGAACGACGATGAGTCCTATCACACCACCAGAGAGCAATGCATCGTCATCTTCTCCCAGCACCACACAAGCGACAACAACAACTGTGGTACCAACAGGTATAACTACAGCGAGAACTGAAACGACCGAAGGTGCTACGGCAACTACAACACCAGCTACGACAGGAGCTACCCCAGAGGCACCGTCTGTGTCTGTCATATCGACGACGGTTGGCACAACCAATAAAGCTCTAACTACGGCAGGGGCAACCACCGCTGATATGACTGAAAGTTCTGTCACAAGTA